GGGCCTTGCCTGTACTGTGTCCCCAGCTTTTGGAGTGTGGCAGCCACAAGGCTACACAGGGTGATACTATCCCCATGTCACACAGAATCACTCCTACCGAGGAAAGCTGCTGGACATTGTCTTTCTCTTTAACAATTTTCAGCCTTCCCGCGGTTGACTATCTGGAATGTGATCTGGGGCAGACAGAGTTCACTCCTCCTGGCTGCGTTGCCTTACTTAACATCACAGAACCACTTCTGGGTATGTTATTACATGTTTCTTTAATGTCTCAGGCTTACAAGATTTAAAAGTAATCATATTTACAAAATTCTGTATCAAATGTAAAATATGCAAAGTGAACTGTTCTGCCTCTAGCTTCTGCAACAACACTGAGTATGTTTTTATTTTAGGAAGTGGAACTACTTGATGTAAATTTTGTTAATAATTTATTTTTATTTTATGTGCATTGGTGTTTTGTCTGCATATATGGCTTTGTGAGGGTGTCGGGTCCCCTGGAACTGGGGTTACAGATACTTGTGAGCTGTCACGTGGGTTCTGGGAATTGAACCTGGGTCCTCTGGAAAAGCAGTCAGTAAATTACAAACACATCTCACCCCCAAAACATCGTAGGTGACCTGAGCCCTGACCCAGATTCCACAGATGATTTTTTTTTTCTGCATTCACCAGTTATCCTGTAATGTCCGTTTCCTGTTTCCGAATTAAACTACAAGTTTACCTTTTTTTTTTTTTTTTTTTTTTTTTTTTTTTTTTTTACTTTTTTGTAATTTTTTTATTAGTTTAAATTAAGAACAAGCTTGCCTCACATGTCAATCCCTCATCTATCTCACAAGTTTACGTTTTTTAAAAAATTTATTTTATGTACATTGGTATGGAGGAAGCTTCAGAGTTCCTGAAACTAGAGTTCCAGTTCTGTGCGGCCATGTGGTTCTGGGAATTGAGACAGATCCTTTGGAAGAGCAGCCAGTGCTCTTGACCATTGAGCCATCTCTGCAGCCCCCCCCCCATTTTTTAGAATTATAAAATATACAAAATAAATGTGGTCATCTTAGCTACTCCTGGGTGTATAATTCAGGGGCATTAAATCTGTTCACAGTGTTGCAGCTCTCATTGCTACATCCAGACTTTTTTGTTTGTTTTTGTTTTTCAAGACAGGGTTTCTTTGTGTAGACCAGGCTGGCCTTGAACTCAGAGATCCGCCTGCCTTTGCCTTCCGAGTGCTAGGATTAAAGGTGTGTGTCACAACTGCGTGGTTTGTTCTTTTAGTTTTTTAATTGCTTTATTTAGCTTTTGAGGCAAGCTTTCTCAATCTGTGTAGCCCTGGCTGTCCTGGAACTCAAGAGTTCCACGTGCCTGTCTCCCCAGTGCTGGGATTAAAGGAGTGTGCTACTATGCCCAGCACGCTGTTTTGTTTTTACATTTATTTTACACTCACTTATTTTGAATAGGAGCTGGGTGCAAGTGTTTTGGTACACACACACACACACACACACACACACACACACACACACACGTGTGGAAATCCACTGACAACTGTAGGAGTCGGTTCTTTGTAAGGAGTCTTTTTCTGTCCTGCCAGCCAGATCCCAAAGAATACATGGAGACTTACTAATTGTGAAAGCTTGGTCATTAGCTTAGGCTTGTCCCACTAGCTCTTATAACAAATTAACCCGTATTTTCATTTTTATCTATTTGTTTGCTTGTTTATTTATTGGTTTTTCAGGACAGAGTTTCTCTGTGTAGCCTTGACTGTCCTGGAACTCTCTTTGTAGACCAGGCTGGCCTTGAACTTACAGAGATCCACCTGCCTCTGCCTCCCGGGTGCTGGGGTTAAAGGTGTGTGCCACCACCACCCAACAACCCGTATTTTTATTAATCTACATTCTACCATGTGGCTTTAGCCTCTCCCATTCTGTGTTTCCCACTTGATAGCATCTCCTGCAAGCTTAGATTCATCCCTCTGGCTGCTTCTTTCTGCCAGAAAGTTCCATCTATACCAACTGCTTGGTTATTGGCCATTTAGTTTTTTATTATGCCAACCACAGAAACACATTCTCACACAGTGTACAAGTATTTCTGCAACACTTCTGGAGAACTGAACACTGGCCATCAGCTCAGTGGAAGCGACTTCATCTGATGAGCTGTCATCAGCCTCGGCCTTTATTTTTTTTTTTTTTGTTATTTATTTGGTTTTTCAAGACAGGGTTTTCTATGTAGCCCAGGCTCTCCTGGAACTCGCTCTGTAGACTTGACTGGCCTGAAATTCAGAGATCCACCTGCATCTGCCTCCTGAGTGCTGGGATTAAAGATGTGTGCCCAGTTTAAGATTTATTTTTAATTACGAGTATGTGGGAGAGCGAAGGGTGTGCGCCTGAGTCAGTGTCCTTGGAGGTCAAAAGAGGGAGTCAGAGTTCCCCCAAACCTGGAGGCACAGGCAGTTGTCTACCTCTTGACACCAAGCCCAGGTCCTCTGCCAGAGCTGTGATGCTCCTGCTGCTGAGCCATCTCTCCAGCCTTCTTGTTCTGGGCTTTTCCTCTCTCACCCAAATTCGAAGATTAAAAGTGTATATCAGTGCTGGGAGGTGGTGGCCCACATCTTTTATTGGGGGGGAGTGGGGGGGGAAGACACGCACGATGACAGAGGCAGGCGGATCTTTGTGAGTTCGAGGGCAACCTGGTATACGTGTCACGTCTCAAAAAAAAAAAAAACCCAGAAAAGTATGTGCCACCACTTAGCAAGGGTTATTAAAGGTCATTAATTGAGTTTTCAACAGGCTCTACACCCTAGAAGGTATAGCTGTATCCCAAATACCTGGAACAAATATAGCCATGTCAGAATACTATTGGAGTTGACTTTCATAGGTGAAATTGGGGGTGTCTTTGACCTCCAAAAACATAATTGGGGTGTTCTCGGGGATTTGAGGTTTCCTAAGATGTTTGTGCAGGATGGCAGTGACACAAAGCCCTGGACACTGTTTGTGGCCGTGGCATGGCTGCTTTTGCTTAGCAGTGATGTAGCTGGAGGAACCCCCTGTAGAAGCAGGTCTCAGCCTGTGGGTCACGACCCCCTCAGGGGTCACGAACCCCACAGGGGTCACACACCAGATGTTTACATTGCAGCTCATAATAGTCGCAACAAAAATGTTATGGTAGGGGCATCCCACAACATGAGCTGTATTACGGGCCGCTGCGTTAGGGAGGATGAGAATCCCTGGTCCAGAGCCTTCTGTGTGTTAGGCAACTGCTCAGTTCCTTTGTTTTCCCAGGACCACCTTTCACTCACCCGAGGAGGCCACAGAAGATGGCGTATTACGGGAAGATGAGTTGTCACAACGACTATGAGAATTACATTGAGATCGTAAAATACGTGTTCCGGGATTACAGGAGGGAGTCCCCACTCATCATCAACACAATGGGCTGGGTGAAAGGTGAGCATTGCTGCACAGGTGCATATTCACGGTGTGCCCTGTGTGCTGTCATGTCCAAGTGCAGCTAAGCTTAGGTCATTCATTCCCCCTGTCCAGCTGAGGAGGAACTTGAACTTCTAACCCTCCAACCACCTCCTCCCAGGGTAGGGATTACAGGCATTTATATCACTGTCCATTTTTTTATGGTGCTAAGGCTTAAACCTGGGGCTTCTTGCATGCTGAGGGAACAGTCCACCAAGTGAGCTCTGGTTTCTGGGCTTTTGGTTATTTTTTTCGATACTTTTTTGTTTTGTTTTGTTTTGTTTTGTTTGTTTGTTTGTTTGTTGAGACAGTTTCTCTCTGTAGCTTTGGAGCCTGTCCTGAAACTCATTCTGGAGACCAGGCTGACTTTGAACTCACAGAGATCCGCCTGTCTCTGCCTCCTGAGTCCTGGGATTAAAGGCCTGTGCCACTACTGCCTGGCCTGTGTTGGTTATTTTTTACTCAATTGACTTTTGTGTGACTGTTGTCAGAACACTGCATGCAGTACCCTTGGAAGTCAGAAGAGGGCATCAGACCCTGTCAGGTGTGCATGTGCTGCCTGGCCATGTCTTTTTCTCTGGATCTTGTTTTTTTTTGTTTTGTGATAAAGAGTTTCTCTATGTAACAGCCCTGGCTCTCCTGAAATTCTCTCTGGAAACCAGGCTGGCCTCGAGCTCACAGAGATCCACCTGCCTCTTCCTCCCAAGTGCCAGGATTAAAGGTGTCTTTCCTGCTTGTTATGCTTGCTGCGCTTACAGTCTCTCTTCCATGGCAGAGGACGGCCTGCTGCTGCTGGTGGACCTGATCCGACTGTTGTGCCCCAACTATGTCGTTCAGTTGTCTGGCCGGAATAAAACAATGTCCGCTCTGACCTCAGAATATGTAGAGCTCACAGATGGCCTATATACAAAGAGCAAGATCAAAAGGAGACATCGGGGTTTCGAAATTCAAGAATTTGGAGATAGTTTGGAATTTACTGATGAAGAAAAAGACTCTTGTCCAGTTCCAGCCTTCACTGGACATAAGCTAATAGATGTTCACTCAGAATTTTTATGTGATAAAAATGAAAAAAATAGGTAAGTGAAGTATCACTGGGTAGAGAATGATGCTCTCTGCAGTGACCAGCATCGTGAGCTCACTTGTTCACAGAGCTGGTCACGGTGGCTCTGGCCCTAGGTTCTTGCACCTGGGAGGCCAGCCTGTAGCACATTGTGAGGCCCTGTAAACAAAAGAGGTAATCCTCTGAAGATTCAAAAGGGCATCATTCCTGGGGGGAGCGTGGAGATGGGGCTTCCCATACTGGTGGCCAGGGGCTCGGTGCTGAGGAGTCTTTGGGCTTCCTGTGGTTTGGAGGACTTTGTCAAGGCAGGGTTTTATGTGGAGACTTGAGGGTGGGGGAGAGACGAGAGTGAGTGGTATTGGCCCTTAGACCAGGGTCTTGAACCTGCTGGCAGCTCTGACTGAGCCTCAGCTCCAGCCCTAGGATTTGGGGAGATCTTGAAAGCAAGGTCTCCTGTGCTCCTGATGTTGGTTGAGCTGCTGCTCGCTTCTGCCTCCAGGTGGCCATGGTGTGTTATTGTCCACTCACCTTGCTCTGCTCTACTTTTCAGGGCCAAATACAACAAAATTTTTCGAGACCTGGCAGTGTTGGGCTACCTTAGCCAGCTGATGCCGCCTGTGCCAGGGCCGCTTACCCCTTTGCACAGCCTGACTCCCTATCAGGTAATCAGCGCTGGTGGGGGAAGCTGTCTGTGCACTGATAAGATACATGAAGCTTCCCTATGGTTCAGGTTCTGATAGTATCCCCATTTGTCAGATGGGAAAACTAAGGAACAGTGAGGCTGGGTTTCCTGGCCAAAGATGGTTCTTGGCTGGCAGCCTTATTGTCCTTATTGGCATGGGCTCTAGTTTAATGTCAGCTCTAAGTTGCTTGATCTGGTGGCCGTCTAATGTTTGTACTTTCCACCTGCATTGACGGTAGTGAGTGCCTGATGTCTCAGAATGCTGCAGGGCTCATGAGCCTTCCTGGCAGTGCCTGGTGTACAGAAGAGTGCCCTCCTGCAAACCCTGCTCCTCCTATCGGGTTCCAACACCAAGGTGTTCACAGCATCCAGGCTGTTGTGAATTGCTGTGGGGGCGGCTCTTTGGTTAGGGGCTATGGTGGCAGAGGTGGTGAGCGGTGACTTCCTAACCCTTCCCAAATATTTCTAGTAATTGGGGGCCAAGCACTCACACTTAGGAGCCTATGCGGGCCATCCCCATCGGAACCAGTGCACACGCAGCAGGTTCTTCTGAAGACAAGGCAGGTAGCGTCAGCATACATCTCCATAGCAGAGCAGAAACTCCCCGGGCTTTTACCGGGGAGAACTGCGGCTGTTGAAGAGGTGACATGACTATCTGGATGTGCTGAACGGAAGCCACTCAGTGTGTGTAGTGTGAGCTGGCAGGTTGTGGAAGCCCAGAGCTCTGGTCTCTGCTCTTGTACTTTTGAGAATTGAAGTGTTCCATAGCACACGGTACTAGAAGGGACCTTCGCAAGCACTCCATGATCATGGCTAAACATGAAGGTGACAGGCAATTTGCAGTGGTTTGGTTTTTGGCTTTTTTGGGACATAGTTTCTGGTTGTCCTGGAACTCACTCTGTAAACCACAGTGGCCTCAAACTCACAGAGATCCACCTGCCTCTGCCTCTGCCTCTGCCTCTGCCCCTCTGCCCCTCTGCCCCTCTGCCCCTCTGCCCCTCTGCCCCTCTGCGCCTCTGCGCCTCTGCGCCTCTGCCTCTGCCTCTGCCTCCTTAGTGCTGGGATTAACGGTGTGGGCCACCACTGCCTGGTGCAGTAGGTTTGTTTTAAGAAACAAAGAAAGCAAGCAAAGTCCTGTTCAGCAAAGCACAGCCCGTAAGTACTGCAGACAGACATCTGGAAGAAAAGCTGGCTAACGAGAACGGCAGCTCTGCCTGTCACTCTCCTGGTGGCTGCCAGCATCCAGTGCCCTGAAACTCTTGACTTTACAGCCTTTCATGTTACATACCCACATCTCCGTGGTCTTCTTGGCTATGCCTGAACAGCTTCCTCTACTCAGTCTACAAAGAAATGTCCTAGAACCCTGCACATTGCCACTAATGCTAGTGCTTTTATCCCACTGGTTTGTTCTGTTTTTAAGTTGAGAGAGGGGGATGAAGATGATAGGATAGAAGTAGGGGACGGAGGGAACTGTGGAACCCAGGCTGCCTTGAACTTCTGCTGCTCCTGCCTCTGCCTGCCATATGCTGTGAGTCTTAGTTTCGAGACAGGGTTTCTCTGTGTAATAGCCCTGGCTATCCTGGAACTCTGAGTAGACCAGGCCGGCCTTGAACTCACTGAGATCCATCTGCCTCTGCCTCCTGGATGTTGGGACCAAGGCGCACATCCAGCCTTTTGTGGGGCTGTGTGGTAGCACAGGGCTTCTGATCCTCACTAAGCCATCCCCTGATTTGTGCTCTCAGAGCCCAGATTGGCTGGGTAGGATGTCGCATGTTTGCAGTCCCAGCACTGGGAAGGAAGAACAAGAGGATCTCTGTAGCTTACTGACAGTCAGTCTAGACACATCAGACCGTTTTTCTCAAACAAGGTGAAGCCTGGTGTGGTGGCATATTGGAGCTCTGCTTTGAGGCAGCCTAGGCTACATAGTGAGACTGTTTCAAAAAACAAAACAAGACCTGGAAAACAAAGGAATGTGGAGAGTTGTCAGTGGGAAGGTACCCATAGGTGTACCTGAGAAATGCACGCATGAACACATACTCACCTGGAGAGCATGATTAAGTCTCTAAGTCAGCGTCGTAGTCATGCCTGTTACTAACTCGGTGCTTAGGAGAGAGACTAAGGAGGTGGGTTGCATGTCTGAGGTCCACCTGGACTATCCAGACTCTGTCTCAGGAGGAGCCTCTCAGCGAATCAATCGGGAGATGAACATTTACGGTTTATCCTCCAGGTCCCCTTCAATGCCGTTGCTCTCCGGATCACTCATGCCGACGTTGCCCCTTCCCACATACTGTACGCCGTGAACGCCAGCTGGGTTGGCCTTTGCAAGATCGTGGACGACATGAAAGGGTACACTAGGGGTCCCATCCTGCTTGCACAGAACCCTATATGTGACTGTCTGGGCTTTGGTGAGTTGAGAGTAAAGTATGACTCTTTTCCCTGTCCACTCCACTATAGGCAGCTGGTCTTGACCTTGTATTGAGAAGCACCTGTCATTAGGGAAGCTAACATCTTTCTCGGTGTGCTCCTCCAGGGTTAACTTCTTTACCTCATCACAACTATCCAAGCTCTTCTCTTAGCCTGTTTTGGTCCCTCACAGCTGAACAGGGAGATAACCAAATTCTTTGAGTTAGACTTTCTTTTTAAAGATTCATTTATTTATTACATATACAGTGTTCTGCCTGCATGTATGCCTGCACACCAGAAGAGGGCACCAGATCTCCCTACAGATAGTTAGGAGCCACCATGTGATTGCTGGGAATTGAACTCAGGACTTCTGGAAGAGCAGCCAGTGCTCCTAACCACTGAGCCATCTCTCCAGCCCCTAAATTAGACTTTCTTAAGGTTTATTTTATTTGGGCTGGAGAGATAGCTCAGGCTGCTCTTCCAGAGGACTCAGGTTCAATTCCCAGCACCCACATGGCAGCTAACAACTATCTCTAACTCCAAGATCTGATACCCTCACACAAACATACGTGCAAGCAAAATACCAATAAAAAAAATTTTTTTTTTAATATACTTTGTTTCATTTTTAGCTAGGCATGGTGGCTCACCCCAGGGGACACAGGCAAGTAGTTGGTTCTTTGTGAGTTTGAGGACAGCCTGATCTAATCAAGTTCCTGGACAATGGGGGCTATGTAGAGCCTGTCTCAAAAAGAGAGATTTATTTCATTTTTAATTATGAGTGCAAGTGCCCCTGGAGACCAGAGGTATTGGGTGTTAGGTTCCTGGAGCTGGAGTCGTAGCTGCCTGAAGGTGGTGCTGGGAACTGAACTTGGGTCTTGTGGAAGAGCAGCAAACACCCTTAACCCTGCTGAACCATCTCAGTACCCCTCAACTGCTCCTTATATTCTGAAAGCAAAGCACTGGAAATTAAAACTTGTTGATTTACCTTGTTTGTGCTTGCCTGTGTGTCTGGTGTGCACTCAGAGGCCACAAGATAGCATCAGGTGGCAGGATTAAAGGCACGCACCACTGCCCGGCTCAGCAAGTGTTCTTAACAGCTGAGCTGACTCTTCAGCCCCCAAAGAAAACTCTTAATGTCAAGACCAGCCTTCCTGTCCCAGTGACTGAAATGTGGAGTGTCTGCTGAATAGCTGATTTTGCTGTGTCTTGAAGGCATTTGCAGAGGCATTGACATGGACCAGCGTCTGTACCACATTCTCACGCCTTTGCCTCCAGAAGAGTTGAAAGCTGTGAACTGTCTGCTGGTTGGTGCCATTCCCATTCCACATTGTATCTTCAAGAAGCAGGTGAGCTCACGTGGACAGTCCTGCAGGGAACGTGGGCAGGCAGGAGCCAGACGATGGTGACCATAGTCAAGGCAACAGGCCCTTTATCTGGGGACACACACTTTATTATGGGGTTTGAATGACATAAGATGGGGTACTAGGTGCCTCAAAAGGGTTAAGTCAACATCTCCGGGTAGAGCCAATCTCGGGAGGACGTGGAGGGCAGAGGTAGCTCCATAGCACTGACCTCCTGTGAACAGTCTTTTGTGGGTGTCTTTGTTTTGAGACGGTTTCACTGTGGAGTCTTGGTTGACCAAATTTATAGACCAGATTGGCCTCCCAAGTGCTGAAGTTAGCGTGGGCCGGCATGCTCAACATGAACAGTCTCCTGAGGCACACTGGGAAAGCACACACATGTTCATCGGCATGGCCCCAAAGGCTGAGTGGGTGGAGGTCCTGGTTGTGTTTAGCTTTTACAGATCTGAAAGCTCCATACGCCATGCACCGTCTCTCACAGTGTTTGCTTGAGGGGTCGGGGTAGCGGGTCGGGATAGAGAGATGGCACTGAGGCTTGTTGAAGGTAAGGTGTATGCACACATACACAGGAAGCCAAATCAATGAATACACACACACACACACACACACACACACACACACACACACACACACACACACACACACACTCATATATATTTGCTTGTTTGTTTCTGGGGGTTTTGTTGTTATTGTTTTTCAAAACAGGATTTCTCTATGTAGTTTTGTCTGTTCTAGAACTCACTCTGTAGACCAGGTTGGCTTCAAACACACAAAAATCCATCTGCCTCAGCTGGGCAGTGGTGTCTCACACCTTTTAATCCCAGCACTCCAGAAGCAAAGGTAGTCGGATCTCTGTGAGTTCGAGGCCAGTCTGATTTATAGAGCTAATTCCAGGACAGTTAGAGCTATACAGAGAGACCCTGTCTGGGGGAAAACAAGAAGGAAGGAAGGAAAAGAAAAGAAAGAAAAGCCGGGTGTTGGTGGTGCACGCCTTTAATCCCAGCACTCAGGAGGC